ATTTTACTTCAAAAGCTTCTATTAGTATTAAATTCTGTAAATACCACCAGCAAAATAAATAAGTAAATAAAAGACTAACAGCAGCTGCCTGAGGTTGTAATAAATAACTTTGCTTAGATCAAGACACTAATATTTAAACTGCAACTTAATCAGGTTTTTTATTTTTTTAACTTCCCCAAAAGGACTCAGGCATAATTTTAGCAGATGAACCATTTAAAAACTTAAGTCATAAACTGAAACTAAATACTGGATGACATAAACTCTGCTGCTTCAACTGACCAGCTCATCAGTTGTAAAAACAAGCACAATGAAAATTAAGTTAAGCAGGCTTTATATTTCCTATAGCCTCCAGTTCCAGACTACATCTGTTTTCTTTGATACACAAAACCAGAGTTAAAACAGCTCCATTTATCACAGCATGATTGTAGGCAGACAAACCAGCCTGTCTGTTTCCAGATAGTGAAAGCAACTGTTATTAATCACAATTACAGGCCAACTCCTCTAAGAGAAATTGCATCAATATTCTTCCAACCACCAGCCCTTCAACTGTGGAGCTCAAAAACCGTGTGGGGTGTGGTGTGTGTGTGTGTGTGTGTGTGTGTGTTTGACAACACTGCCTGAAGGTCAATAAAGATGCCACTATGAGGTCAACTTGGATTTTAAAATCAGGATACAAATCAAAGAGATTCTACTCTGCATGTAAAAATAACTAATCTCTCAAAAGTTCTAACATTCAGTAGGATCAGCAGGGCAAATGAATACACTAATTAAAATTTATATTGAAAGGATTTCCACCTTATGAACCTATTCTGAATAGCAGTGACATTTGAAATTTACAAATTAAAGAAACTAGTATTAAAACACAATTTTTCTACAGCAAAAGTGTGAATGCAATTTATTTTTCATATAGACTGTAAGAGAGCTTTCTACAGAGAATAAGATTCATAGTTACGATTATTTTGAATCATATCTTAGGAGGTACAGATCTTTTCTCAAATAAATTACAGCCTTCTTCTCAATGATCAGAACAAAAGTTTAAAATATGAAAGTTTCACATGACACTCCTGCTGCTACTACAAAGAAGAAGCCATAAGAGGTGGAGGGGGAAGAGAAGAAAGAAATACACTCCTGTTCCCTAAGCACCTATTATGGCATCTCAGATTGACATATGTCATCACAGTTAAGTCTTAAAAGAGGGCCCAGCGTGATAGCCTAATGACTAAAGTCCCATGTGCTGGGATCCCATATGGGCACTGGTTGGTGTCCCGGCTACTCCACTTTGCATCCAGCTCCCTGCCTGTGGCCTGGGAAAGCAGTAGAGGATAGCCGAAAGCCTTGGGACCCTCTACACACGAGACCCAGAAAAAGGTACAGCCTCCTGGCTCCAGATCAGCTTGGCTCCGGCCACTGTGGCCACTTGGGAAGTGAACCAGAGGATAGAAGATCTTTGTCTCTGTGTCTCCTTCTCTCTGTAAATCTACCTTTCTAATAAATAAATAAATAAATCTTTTAAAAAGTCTTACAATAAAGCTATGAGATAGGAGCTAGTATTCCCATCGTGCAGGTAAAGAAACTGAAGACAAAAAATTAGTTCTCTAAGGTCACCTCAGAACATAGTTCTAAGCAATGATTTCAACAAAAAACTTTTTCAAAGCCATAGTTCTTTTCTTCTGTATCTCAGACCCTCAACATACTTGTTTTAAGATAAAATTTGGATGGAACCTCAGATAAACTAGGCATCTGTGGAAAAGCGTCAAATGGCTAGTGGTGGTGTGGAGTTTCAGAAAAATGTACTCTTCTCCATTGAGTAACTGCGTCTACTAGCATTTTCCCAGAAATAGGTAATTAGTTGAGCCTTTCTATGATTAAATATGCTCCTATAGTCCAGCAAGGCCTGGTTATTAAATGTTTGGAATTAAATAAGAAAACACTACTCCCATTTTAATATGAAATTCTGAGTACTTGGGCTTGCACTCAGCACTTAATATACTATCAGCGAGGCTCTACAAGGTACAGCAGCCAATCACGCTGTTAGGAAGACTAGGGAATATAATAATAAAGAGGACAAAACTTCAGCAACTTCACTGAACAATTCAAAGGACGCAGGAACTACACAAAGGATCCGGGAGGACACCTCTAAGAAGGTGACACTTCCATCAGAGACCTAAATGATGAGGAAAAATAAGACATGCAAATATCTGAAGGGGAAGAACATTACAAAAAGAAGGAACAATTGGGAAAGTGCTTGAAGGAAAGTGGGTACATCTCGGGGACAGCAAGAAGGCCAGTGCTGCTAGAGGGAAAGAGTCACGAGAGAGACGGACCGAGGCCTCAGGGGAGGTCCTTCAGAAAGTTCACAGGAAACGGAATTGCACTTTTGGTGGAACAAACCACCTGCACAGGACACATTTTTCATGTAATTTCTAAAGTGTTCTCACATATGTTTGAAGGCACTGATAAAGAGTTTGTGAAGAAACGCACTGATATATATATATTTTTAATTATCTGGCAGCAAGAGTGATGAGTAGGGGAGCAAAGGGCAAACAGACCAGTTAGGAGTGTACTGTGGCAGTCTCAGCAGGGGAAGACAGTGACCGGAAGGAAGGTGATGCTGGCAGATATATGTCTTTGTCACCTGGCAGTCACAGCATGTAACCGAGTTTATCACTGACTGAGTGAACTTGCATGGAAGAATGAAAGGCTGGAAGCTGCTGGGGGTACTCTGACATTAGCTGTTTAGAAATGCAACAATTGGAAAAGGGAAAGCACCTTCATATTAGCCCACGTGAACCACATTTTGTATTCAGACCCACCTGGTTTCTTTTTCTAAGCACTAACTAAAAATACTAGTCCACAATTTCTTTCCATGTAGTCATATTTTTGGCCACATAGGAACGTGAAAAAATATGAGAAACAGGATAGAAATAAACAGCTCATATATCAATGAGGCAGTTTCTCAATAAATTATGTGATTAAACCTAACTACATTCATTATCAAGCTAATAATTTCTACAATAAAAGAACTTCCATAAATTTGGAATCTTCAAAGTCCTATAAGCCTAACACCTGAAAAAACGCATAACCTAAACAAGTAGTTTTACCGTTAACATGATCTGACCTGCATTTGTTTCATAACCTGAGATCGCCAGCATGTTGTGGATCAGTCCACAATCAGCAAGCATAAAAAGAACCAGAATGTAAAACTGACTCAGGGGCAAGACCTGAGATAATAAAGAAAACATCTACGATGAGGAAACTAAAAAATTTCATTCACTTCTGTTCATCTAAAATATGGCAAGTAATCAGACTATGTATAAATTAAAGGTTTCATATTTTTAAAAAGAAAAAAATTTTTTTCACATATGTATTTTTAAAAAGACAGAGTGAGATAGAAAAGGATTTTCTGCCAAATGTCCCAACAACAGGGCTGGGTCATGGTGAAGCCAGGAGCCAGAATTCCACGCAAGCTTCTCACATGAGCGTCAGGAAGCCAATCTGTTGCTTCCCAGGCACATTAGCAGGAAGCCGGAAGGAAGGTAGAGCTCTGCAGGACATGATCCTAGGCCCACCAACAGAAGGAGAAAGGGGAGAAAGAGCAAATTCATTCACTTTAATGTTTAGCAGTCAACTAAATTAAAAATTTATTTGTGGGGATTAAGGAAAAAACTAAATTCAAAGCAAAATATTAAATTAACACAACTATAAAGGGAATTACCTTTCTATTTTGTTCATTCATATTAGCAATCTTCTTCAAGTCTGGCTGTAAGAATGTTGCCCAACATAGACTTTATTTTATAGTCTACTTTTGGTACCAAGATTTGTTCACTCATTCTGCACAAAAGCACAGAAGACCCACTGGGGCCAAGCACTGCTGCAGCTGCTAGTATACAGCAATGAACAAAATCCTTTCTCAGAGACCTTCACTTTCTAGCAGGGAGAAAGAGGGAACTGTGAAAAGTACAAGTATATGGCGCATTATCTCATGACAAGCTACCAAAAAAAGAAGGATATGTACAGTACAGGGAAAGTGGAGAAGTTGAATTTTTGGGGGCTTTTTTTCCTTTTTTATTATTATTATATAATTATTATTTTATGGTAAGCTTCATAGACCTTGGGATTTGCCCTACCTCCTCTCCTAACTCTCCCCCTCCCATGAGTTCTCCTATATTATTATAACAGCATAGTTCCTCATAAACAGTCATGAGTTCATTATCGGCATGGACAATGGCAGAGAGTCCAGCATCCCAATGTCAGGACACATCCAACAGTTTCACTGAGAGTCTATCCTTGATCCAGAAGAAGTTGAATTTTTAAACTGAGTTATCATTTATCCTCATGTTCCTCCCTTAAGAATATTTAAATTTTATAAATCTATCCATTTCTTCCTAAGCACCAGATATCTAAGAACATATTATGAACAAATATTTATTATAGAAAGTGGATTAATATCCTCAACATTCACAAATTTAATCACAGATTAGCTATTATTTAATTTTTAAAGGCTGTCTCATATTAATTTCCTATGCTTGCTAGAATAACAATTTTTATTAAAGATGTGATAAATTCTGATACTAAAACTTGATATTAAAATGATCAGCAACTCATAACAACATAGTATGAAAACTTTGAAAAAGATTTGTTTTCATATCCTGCCTTAATTTACTGAGATTTTCAGTGCGCAAAACAAACAGTTCTTTAATGTAACAAACAGCTCTTTAATATGTCCAGTTGCAATTCAACAGTGGCTGAAAACATTTATATAGGGTTTTATTGTTGCTGTTTTTCTTCCTTAAAAGTGATAGCTGTAATGGTCAAATACCTCCTGGCAAACTTGATTATTCTCTGGTGAACATGATATCCATAAGAACTTAGCAGGTTAGCAAGGTCTCATATCTGGACAGGCTCTCAAATCACTCATTTTATAACTTTACCCAACATTTTATTAAATCAAATATTTTCAAAAATAGATTATTAGTAACTGTACTTTCAAAAAAGAATACCTCCATGATGATGCGACAGGCTCCCTCCATTAGCAAGGATTTCATCTCTAGCAGCTGCCTGTATTTGGAAACAACACAAGTCATTTCGACTTAAATATCACTTTGCAGTGGAAAAGTCAGCCAATTTTCCCTTTCACATTATCTGTGTTTAAGAAGCAATTAAAATTTGCAACCTAGCTTTACAAGTTCTTTTCCTAGTAAACAATTACAATGCCTAAAAAGACAATGTTGAGACATGGAGATTCTGGGGAAAAAACATTCTGGTTGGAACTGAATACCTCATTAACCCAATAATCATTAGTGACATACATTTACCGAATGCTGCACATCCTGGAAGTACCAAGCAATTGGATTGGTATATTTCATTTGTTTCTCTGTAGCCTTATAGAATAATTGCAATTAAGAAATGAACTTAGTCAAATTACTTGCCTAATGTCAATGGGTATTACAGCCAAGAGTGCTTACAAAGTTGAGAACAACAAAAGAGCTTATGGAGACCACTGCTTAAGGTCCATGACTTGAGACAAATTACCTGGGAATCCTATGGATACTGAAGTGTTGGAAAAATTTTGTTTTCCATGCTTTAACCTTCCTAACATGTCAGATGTTGACTAAGCTCCACATCTAGCATCCAAGTTACAAAGAAAAATCCAACAAAAAAATAGAATGACTAAAGTTTGGAATGAAAAAGGTTAATTGAAACTGGAATGACCTTCAATTCCCAATGGCTCATGAACATGTAATGGCTATGAAGTGGACTATTCACAACATTTTGAGTCTCTCAGGATTAATTAAAAACATATAAACTATGAGTTAGGCTGAGACAAAGAGGGTCCAGGTGGGGCAGGTGGGTCAAACCTCCTTGCAAGTAATCTCTAAGATCTCCCATTGAGAACAACTAGCTCTCATGTACTTTATAAAAAACCAGCTGGAAGAAGCTGTTAGGCTCCAACTCAGGGTAAGAAAGGATAAGAAATAATGAAAGGCTGGATGCAGGCTGCAACTGGGGTACCCTGTATTTACCCACTGAAGAATTACCCTGCACCCTGTAAAGTATCACATGTTAATCATAACTTCATAAAAAAATTAGAATAAGAACTCTCATTACCTAAGATTTAGAGTTTTTCCAAATGAAATAGAAATATGCTAGCTCCTGTTCTAAGAACTTAAATTCCAACAAATTACTTCAAGTAAAGCAAAAACATCTGAAACCAGCAGCATTTACAGAATGGCAGTTTGGATCAGGAGAGAAGAAGCAATGCTACTGTAGTCCTACAAGGAAGGGGTTTCTGGTAACTGGAGAGAGCACAGAGCACTGAAGGCTAAGGCGATTAAAAAAGTACACAAACTTTTGGAAATAACAAATATATTTATCATTTTGACTGGGGTGATGATTACGTAGGTTTATGTTTCAGTTGCTCCACTTCCCATCCGGCTCTCTGCTTGTGGCCTGGGAAAGAGACAGAGGATGGCCCAAAACCTTGGGACCCCACACCTGTGTGAGAGACCCAGAAGAAGCTCCTGGCTTCAGACTGGCTTAGCTCTGGTCATTGTGGCCACATGCGGAGTAAACCAGCAGACGAAATATCTTTTTCTCTGTCCCGCCTTCTCTCTGTAAATCTAACTTCCCAATAAAAATAAGCAAATCCTTAAACAAAAATTACTGAAGTGAGAATAAAATCTGTTTACATTAATATAAAAGCAAAATGCATGTGTGCATAATTACCTCAGTCTGTTCAAACACGGCTAGTGGGTCACTAATTCCCCTGTAGTTAAAGGCAAAATAGAAGTAGATGCATGCACCTGCGTCGTAAGTCTGAGTCACCCTGAAAAACAGACACAATTTCCACAAGGGCTTGGGTTAAGAGGAAACAGATATTACGTCTAGCAACTTGAAGTCCAGATCACTGAATCAGCTTAAGCCACAGTCTCATTTTCTACCCGCACCCTGAGTTACAGAAGGAATGTCGACTCGTTATCTTTTTAGAGAGGCTGATAAAACAGGTGAATTAAGGATGCAATTGGAAACAAATGGACTTAAGTGCCACTTTATTCAGTATTACAAGTACAGATTCCATCTCTTCCTTGTCTGCATGTCCATGTCCCATGCTACTAAAATTTCTATTGAGAAAGAAAATAAAAATGCTTGCACATTTCAATAGTGTTTTATTATTTTCTTGGTGATCTTATTTAAATTGTCTTGTTATCTAGAAATAATGGAGTTATAAGCACCAAGTGTGAAAGCACATGTGATACACAGATCGTCTTCTTTAAATCACACAAAAACAGCACTTAACAAAAAGCATGACCCTAAAGTGTTAAAAGTGCACATATCTTAATAAAAAGAACAACGTAACTTTCTTCTATTTTTCCCAATTCAACCAGCAATTCATAACTAGTTCTTCGTATGGCTGGTATAAGATGATATTTAATATAATGGCACAGCTGTAACGTTTTTCAAAATCATCCTGGGCCATGCAAAGAGGTCCAGGCATGCAGAGGCTGATTACATTCTGTGAGGCCACAGTACGCAGACATGAAGGAAAACATCTGCCCTAAGAGAAAGACAACACAAGACTGAAAACAAAAACTTTGTCCCATTCTTTGGCCCAGTTACTGCTAAAAACAGAAACGTAAAGTATATGGGTACACATATGAACATGTCAACAGTGATGAAAATAAATTTTAATTATCTTAAAAATCCACGCTGGTAAAACACGGGGAGGCTATAAGTCCTCATCCATATTAAATGCACTGACAACAAATACTGTACACTAATTATTTGGATTCCTCTGGCTCAAGGGACTTAAAGATTCTGTGTAGAAAAAAAGTGTCACTATACTGGAGGTGATAAGAAAGACTGTTGTCATGGCTATAATTTAAAAAGTAAACAACAATGAGATAAATATCAGTAACATTTTTCTTCCTATACAGATCACTTAAATGCATTAAGAGAAACATTTCTAAATTCTCTAAGAAAAACATTATCCAGCTTCAGGATATAGAATAACCAACAGTGCTGCAAAATGGTGACAGTTCTAGGTTCAGTTTATTAAGTTATCTAATGAGGGACTAGATTCCTTTATACAGAGAATAAATATACAGAAAACATCAAGAGCTGTATGTGATTTAAAAAACAGGAACAAAGTGGCCCTCTTCTTCCTGGCTGCCTGAGGACTGAATGCCACTCTGAACCACACAGTAGCTATCCAGATTGGCAAGTATTAATGACCAACTGTCTATTCCATAAAAACAAATGCTCTCTGATGTCCTCCATCATGGATGGCAACAATGCCTAAGAAGTTTGGGAAAGACTAGCCATACAAGACCACACCACAGGCTATGTCTGAGTCTGGATTTGGAATGTATTTGGCTATTTGTTGGCAAGACAATGGTAATCTCCTGGATTACACAAAGCAAAGCTTCTAAAACATGGCCTGCATGAGAATTAAAATACCTCAAGAAAACAACAGGGAATGCAAGAACAAAGAATGTGAAGGGGATTACCAAGGTCAAGGTTGCTGATGGCAAAAAACTGTTTTACTCTATCTAAAGTGACCAAGAATAACTGTTAACAAGAGCACTGTAAACCCTTAAGAAATTCAATGTAGATACATCTTTGCAGATGGAAAATGCTAAGGTAATAAAATCATAACGCAAATATTAAGAAAACCAACTGGGAAAGGTGCTAGAGCGAGGGATCCCTCAATGGAGAATTACAGAAAAGCCAAGCTATCTCTTTAGGTAAGAAAGATGCAGTTGTATCACTGTATAGGCAAAATCAACTGAAAGATAATAGAACAAACAGACGAGGAAAAAAATGAGGAAAAAAGAAATGAAGGATAACCTGGAAGTGACAACTCTAACTTCAGGTGTAAGAAACAAAACAACATGGGGCAGGCATTTAGCACAGCAGTTAGGAGCTGCTTGAATGCCTGTTCGACTCCAACTCTGCCTGATTCCAGCTTCCTGTTAATGCCCACTCTGGAAGGCAGGATGTGATGTCTCAAGTATATCGGTCTCTGCTGCACAGACAGACGGCCTGGCTGCTGCAGCCAGTTAAGGAGTAAACCAGGGGCCTGGCGCCATAGCCTAAGTCCTTGCCTTGCACACACTGGGATCCCATATGGGCACTGGTTCTAATCCTGGCAGCTCCACTTCCCATCCAGCTCCCTGCTTGTGGCCTGGGAAAGCAGACAAGGACGGTCCAAAGCCTTGGGACCCTGCACCCATGTGGGAGACCCTGAAGCGGCTCCTGGCTTCGAACTGGCTGAGCTCCGGCCGTTGTGTCCACTTGGGGAGTGAATCAGTGGACAGAAGATCTTCCTCTCTAACTGTCCTCCTCTCTGTATATCTGACTTTCCAATGGAAATAAATAAATCCTTTGAAAAAGTAAACAAGCAGATGGAAGATTCAGTCTTTGTCTTTCAAATAGAATGAACATCAAAAAAAAGTATAATTTGAATTCAATCCTAAGCAAATACCAGACAAATCCAATTTGAGGGACATTTTATAAAATAAATAGTAGTATTTTTCTAAAATAAGAAGGCCATGAAAATAACAATGGAGGAATTTTCCCAGAAGAAACACAGTAACTAAGCATATTATGTCATTCTGGATTGGATCCTGAACCAGAAAAAAAAAAAAAAAAAAGACAGCACTGGGATGAATGGTAAAGAAAGGCTTGTAGATTAGTTAATAATGTTGTAACCTCAACTTCCTCTTTTGATGATTATCTATAATAACATGAGATATGAACACTAGGGGAAGATGACAAAAGGTCTATGAACTACTGGTCCCAGTTTTTGCATCCGTTTTCTTAAAAGTCTGGATCATTACCATCACCTTGTATTAAAAATTTAAAAGCGATGTAACTATTTCTCAATTAGTAAGAAATAAAACCTCATCACACACACAAAAAAAGACTTTATCCAGGCAAGATCAAACCTGGTGAATCTTCAAAGTGTTCCAAACGATCTCAAAATTAACAGAACTAAGTACGAGCATTTAAAACTCCCTGAAAAATAGGAGAAATGTACAAATATCAAATACAATCTGACTGGGTGAAATACATTATCTTCCCTAAAAGGGCAGTAGATTAAGCCACTGCCTTGGACTCTTGCATCTCATATCAGAGTGCTGGTATAAACGCCAGTTACTGCACACTGCCAGTCCAGCTTCCTGCTACCGAACCTGGGAGGCAGCTGACGATGGCTCAGACAGTTGGACTTCCCCTCCACCCACATGGGAGACCTGGATGGAATCCCTAGCTCCTGGCTCCTGGCTCCGACAAAGCCTAGTTCCAAGGGGGAGTGAACCAGTATAAACAAGAATGCTCTGTTACTCTGTCATTCAAATAAAGTAAGTAAATCTTAAAAAAAAAAAAAAAGTAAATATTTACGAAACAAATTGATCATATCAAGATGTAGAGGCATGACCTTAACTCATTATGTCCCATTGCCACACATGACACCTTGTAGGTGTCTTTATAAGACTTAAGTTGAGCAACAAGTATACTACTTGTGATAACTGAAATAATTATATGGTTGAAATATTTACAGAACTGGATGCTTGGAATATAATACGTTGAAATAGTATCTGTCAGACCATACGTATTCACAGTTATAAGTGTACATATGAAGAATTTTGGATCATTAAATCACATTGTTTGTGTGCATGTATGCATATAACTAAACATATTAGAAGTCCTTAACTGGGTCATATGTAAACACACACACACACACACATGTATCTGGGCTTCCAAAACACAATTAGAAAAGCAGTTTAAAGGAAGCCAAGGTAACCATGGTAATATCTCCAAATGCACTCACAAAGGTTCTCACAAAGAATTTAACAGAGGAGCAAATATAGAGGAAATACTCTTTTTATTATACAATACAAATAGCATCTAATTTAAAAGGTGTTGTAGGCCAAATGTTAGCTGCCTCAGAACAGAAGAAATGAACTGTTTAATAATGCCGCTGTCCATTTTCCAGCTGTGTTTTCTCCTAGTGTTAATTCACTCATTTAAAAAATCACTTGAATATTTACATTTCAAACCAGACTTAGAAAGCTGAAGAAAAATTGGAAAACCATTTTAATTATGAGCATTACAGATAACCACAATCAAATGAAATTTGATAAATGAGATGAGTAAATATATAGCATTCATAAGAGATAATAACAAAAAAATAATTTTGGAAACCTCCATTTGAGTCCACTTCAGAAGTGACTAAGTTCTAATACCTTTTAAAACAGATCAATCCTTTTTCTTAAGAGACTTAAATCACCCAAACAAGTAACTGTGTGGTTGAAAAACGCACTACATTATTCTTTCATTATTAAAAAAATTATGTGGTTACACACTGTTGCAGCACTTTCTTTGTGTCAAAATCAATGATTAGCAATTCTTTCTCATCTAAGTTTTTCAGAAAACAGTTTCTGAAATGGAAGAGGCTCAGGTCTGACTTCATAGATAGCATTAAATAGCTCTAGGAAAATCAGAAGAACAAGCATCACGAACAGAAAAACAGATCCTTCTTGACTTTCAGTGGGGTCATGTTCCAACCAATTCACACTAATATGAAAATATTTTATGTTGAAATGTCCCAGGTACACACAATACACCTAACCTACTTGAACATCACAGCTTAGCCTAGACTATCTTACGCTAGCCTAAAGCTGGACAAAATAATTTATCATAAATCCTTTTTTCATAATAAAGTATCAAATATTTCAATTTATTGAATACTGTAATACTATATAAGAGAAAAATAGAATGCTGGTGGGACATCATAAACTCAAAAAAATCTAGGTCAAACCAATGTAAGCTAGCAAGTATCTCAAACATAAAAACTGCTGTTGTGTTTAATTATAAAGTATTTTAGAAATTTAATTTTAAGTGCACTTAATTGAGTTATCACATTGCTTCTAAGAATACTTTCACTTATTTTAATATTAAGTTGTTTGTTTCCCTAACACATCTTGGAGACGTGTTCTTGAAAACCACATATGAGCACAGAAACTAGTGAGGTAGTAATAAAATACAGAACGTTAGATAACTACTGCATTATTTATTTTGAGGTCCCTCATTCATAATTTGTTCTGATTTCCATTCTCCACTCAAATTAACTCTGTAACTTTTTAAGATGTCAAATGTTCAACTCATTCTTGATGCATTCAATTGCCTGGCATTTTCACATAAAATTAATATCAAAAGCCTGAATACAAAGTGCCTCTTCTCAAGAAAATTTTTTTGGGTTCCATGCATTATCAGTACAGAAGATATTAGCCATGCCTGACATTTCAAATTTAAATTATTTAAAAAATTAATAAAATGTAAAAGCTTACATTTCAATTACTCAAATGTGATATGTGGCTTGTGACTACAGTCAGTATTCAACAGTATAGATATGGAATAATTCCAATTATTAAAGAAAGCTATTACTGGAATACATCAAGTTAATTGACAATATTTTACTCTTATTCTTTATTCTACCTTTATTCAACAAAAAATAGCTAAAATAAAGTATTTATACAACTTATGGTTTCTTGACTGAATCTGTAATTTATAATTTCAGTGAATGAAGTAGCCCTTTTTATCCAGGAGCCTAGACAGGGTAGAAGACTGACTCATGTAAGGAAGATCTTGAAGTACTCCACATGGCTCTGAAATCATAGTGACACCATCCTCAATGTGCTAAGAGAAGTCAGGAAAGCTTGCCAAAAGGAATAGCCTGAAGCTTTTCTCCAGCTGGTAACTTATATTTTCCTCTACTGAATAAGAAAAAAAGTTTATCAGAATAAGTAAAAGAATAATAAAAAAAATACTCACCTGCATGTGGAAAGAGGAGCAAACTGAACACCCCTCTCTTTGCACTCCCTTCTTATTCTTTCTTTTACATTTCTGCAAAGATCTACAACCCTGGAAGAGATATAATAATATTTAGGAAACTACACAAATTCTAGCAAATTGCTGGTGTCTTTCAAGTCTGAAGTTATCTCAATTAAAGCTTTTAGTCATCATTTCAAGAACAACCAATAACCTTGTCAGGCAAAGTTAGTCCTCCATTCATAACTTTAAGGACCAAAATTCTTTCTTTTTTTTTTTAAGCCCTAGGAAAAACAGAAGTCATAAAAAGTGCAGTTTCCTACATTTAAGCAGGCCCCAAATTCAAAGCAAATGTAATTACTAGATCTTAACTTAAAAAAAAAAAAGCTTTAAAGAACTCATTAGTGAAAAATTTATTATATGACTGCCAATGTATTTATTTATTTTAAAATAACTAAACTAATAAGCATCATAGTAGAGTAAATGTTCCATAGCCTATTCTCAAGCCAAAATTCAATCAGACTAAAATGCTTGCATAAAATGCTGGGAGTACTGTGCTATACTGAATTAACTCAAAGGAGCAAGGGAGAGACAGTAGTAATCCTAAAGGGAAAGGAGGTCTGAAAATATTTAATGATATTAATATGCTTTAAAAGTATTATTTTAAAAAATTAATTATAACTACCAATTTTGTTTCACCTGGAAAAAAAAACCCTTTAAGGTATGGATAAACTATTTTATTCCCTGGTGATAACCTAATAAGTTTTATGTTTTAAGCCATGGTCCATTTAGCAACCCAAGAACTGAAAAGATAGGGGCCAATGTGATGGCTCAATTCGATAGTCTTCCACCTTCAAACGCCAGTATCCCATATGGGTGCTGGTTCATGTCCTGGGCTGTTCTGCTTCCCAACCAGCTCCCTGCTTATGGACTGGGAAAACTATGGAGGATTGTCCAAAATCTTGGGACCCTGCACCAATGTGGAGATCCAGGGGAAGCTCCTGGCTTTAGATTGGGACAGTGCTGGCCATTGTGCCATTTGCAGACTAAACCAGTGGATGGGAGATCTTTCTCTGTCTTTCCATAAATCTAATCTGCCTTTCCGATAAAAAAATAAATCTTGAGAAAGAACTGAAGAGATCGCCAAAGAAAATCAAAAGGCAGGTGTGGTGCTAGTCACAAACTGAGTATGAGAATCTATTTAATAAAAAAACAGTAAGATTATATAGACTAAGCCATGTAGTTTACAGCCATGCATATATCCAGTAATACAGCTGTTACAGCAAGAGTTTGCTGTAATAGTGAAAGTGCTGTTAGGGATATTACGACACAGAGAGTTCCAGGCTCTTGTGTTTGGTCTCGTCCAATCCTGGCTACAGTGGGAATTTGGAGAGTGATCTAGTGGACAGAAAAAATCTCTCTAATCTCAACTTAATCCATGTCTCCCATGTGGGTGGGTGCAGTTGGAAGAGTGGAACCAGAACTTAAATGTGGGTAACTTTGATACTGGATGTGGGGTTCCCCGGCATGTCTGTCTCTTCTTAAGAACTTTTAAATTCCTGAATGAGTTAACAACTCACAAGTCCATTTAAAATAGAACCACTCACATTTCCTCATCAGCTTTTATTATTAATATGCTAACAAGTATTTGTGTTTTTCCATTAGAGAAAATCCTCTAAAACATATTTCCATTTATTTTGAGATATTTTCTATATATGTTTCAGTGTTAGAATTTTGCTTAGAGGTAAAAATATACATTGTGTATTTCTTAAATTAAATTTCTATCAGCAATTACTTAAGTTACAAAAGATCAACAAGTTTTATAATTCTGGAGAACTCTTTTGAGAATAAGCATATTAGTCACTCAAAATTTTTAATTAAAGCTAAATAAAATCACATAGCAGCATTTAGTAGCCAAGAGATTCATCAAGCTGTAAATTTCCAACAATACCTTTGTTCTGAGTTGAAAACTGACCCCAAATACCATTCCCTTCATCCCTGCCCCCAGCCCCCAGCCCCCGCCACACACACTACACGTGGCTTGTGTATCCAATATGGTGGCTTGAAAGCACAGCAGTCTGATGATGAAGACACTAGGTTAAACAACAGTAGCTACCTTGATCCAGCATTCCTTCCTAAAAATTTTAATGTTCACACATCAGAGACATATGACTTTAGCAGCTCTAAGAAACCACATGTGAACATCACGCGTTTTATACTATTTTACCTGTCCCAAGGAGCAGAAGTTTCAAAAGATTCTCCTAATACATAGTATTCCAAGCCCAAGTCCTGTTAAGACATACATATAAAAGTCAAGAAGCTACAAGGATAGAAAAAGGATCAGTAATATCATTAGTTTTCAATATACACTGTTACGTCTTCATATAATTATGAGCATTAAAAGCTTGTAATTTATCCTCAGTGGCTTTTTCAGTCGTTTCCCAAGAGCACCAGGAAGGAACCCTAAGAGTAACATACAATCTCCACATCCACTTTACTCTCCCTGTGTCCTGAGCATTAGGTGCAGTGCATGGCATATGGTAAGAACTCAAATGTGTTTCCAATGAATAGACCCTCTATTGAGAAACAATCTATGTACTTATAAATACTAGCAGAACCATCTAATAGCCTAAATAGCAAATAAGCAAATACCAAAAATCGGTCATCAAGATTGAAGAAGCAGAAAGGTAAAAAATGTGGTAGGTGGATAAAGCTTTAGCCTGCAGTGCTGGCATCCCATATGGGTACTGAGTTGGGTCTCAGCTGCTCGACTTCCCATTCTGCTCCCTTCTAATGTGCATGGGAAAGCAGCAGAAGATGGCCCAAGTGCTTGGGTCAGTGAACTCACTATGGAGGACCTGGAAAAAACTCCCAGTTCCTGGCTTTGGCCTGGCCCAGCCCTGGCTGTTGCAGCTATTTTGAGAGAAAATGTGTGGATAGAAAACCCTCTCCCCTTCTCTTTCTCTCCCTATTAGTCTATAATAATGCCTTTTAAATAAATTCAATAAACTAATAAAAGAAAAAAGAAAGACAAGTGGAGGATAAAAGCAGAGTTAAAAAAATAAGATATTGGGGGTGGCACAGTGGCCTAACAAGCTAATCATTTGCCTGTGGCACCAGTATCTCGATGTGCACTGGTTTGTATGCTGGCTGGTCCATTTCCAATCCAGTTCCTCCTTATGACCTGAGAAAGCAAGGGAGGATGGCTCAAGTGGTTGGCCCCTGAACCTACATCAGACATCAGCAGGAAGCTCCAGGCTCCTGGCTTCAGATTGGTTCAGCACTGGCCTTTGTAGCCATTTGGGGAATAAACCAAGAGATGGAATTTCTCTTTATCTTTCTCTCCCTCTCTTTCTAAATCTGTCTTTAAATAAATCTTTTTGAAAAAGAAAAAAGATATTTTTGCTTTTTAAAATTACCTTTTCTTTAAGAATAAATTTAGAGAATACAGTGTTTATCTTTTTTCAAAATGTATTTTTATTGGAAAGGCAGATCAGATTTATAGAGAGAAGGAGAGACAAAAAAAGATCTGCTGGTTTATTCCCCAAATGGCCACAATGGCCAGAGCTGAGCCAATCCAAAGCCAGGAGCCAGGAGCTTCATCTGGGTCTCCCACATGAGTACAGAGTCCCAAGGCTTTGGGTTGTCCTCCACGGCTTTACCAGGCCACAAGCATGAAGTTGGATGGGAAGTGGAGGAGCTGGGACATTAACTGGCATCCATTATCGTGGCACTTGCAAGGTGAGGATTTAGCCATTTAGCCATGGCTCTGGCCCTAGTGCTTATCTTTGAGGAGACAGAATAGGTAGAACATCTTAAAGTAAATTTGCTACAAAGATATTCTACACCATAAAATACTTCTCCCAATGAAACTGCTGGAAATGTGTAGACAACGGGATACTGTATTGTCTGACACTGTTTGTACAGCAATGTCAGGACATACTTAAACATCAAGATGATGGAATCATGATTCCTTATGAAAGACTGCACTATTGTAACAATGTGGGGAAAATCTGTCGGGGGTGGGGGGGTTGGTTTGGGGAGGGGAATCCCAGTCTCTACGAAATTGTACCATAAAATTTAAAAATTCAAAATAAAAAAAAACATTATTTGTTTATCAATAGCATGCTTGTTTTACTAACAAAAATAGGAAGAATCAAAGAAGCACAAAGATTTCAAAGAATAGATATGGAGCTGATGTGGCAACTCTGGCATCCCCACAGCTTCCAATGCCATCAGCATCCCATATCAAAGCACCAGATCAAGTCCTAGCTGCTCCTATTTCATCCAGCTCCCACCTAATGCACCTGGGTGGGCAATGGAAGACGGCCCAAGGACTTGGGCCCCTGCCACCCATGTGGGAAATCCAGATGCAGTTCCTTGCTCCTGGCTTCCGCCTGGCTGAGCTGAGACAACTGCAGCCCCTTGGGGAGTAAATCAATGGAGGAAGATCTTTCTGACTCTGTCATTCTGCCTTTCTAATAAATAAGTCAGTCTTAAGGAAGGCAGGAAGAGGGAAGGAGGGGAGATAGGAGGGTGTGGGGGAAGAAAAAGGGAAGGAAGGAATGAAAAAAGAAAGGAAGGGAGGTAGGAAGGAAGAAACAAAAGAAGAAACAAACAGGAAGGGAAGCACAAAGGGAGCTAGGGATGGGCCAGGTTGAAGCTGAGAGCTAGAAATTCCATCTCAGCAGGAAGCCAACTATATAAAGCATCACATGACACTTCACCAGGTGCAGGTTAGCAGGAAGCTATAAACAGGAGTGGAGCTACCACTAGTCCCAGCAATTTGATGTGGGATGCAGGCATACAAAGTCGCTTCTTAACCTTCAGGCACTGCAATTAAAAAAAAAAAAAATAAATAACCCCAGGCCTGAAAAAATCCCCAAGTTGCTTTTGAGTCAGCTTTAATATTAAATGGAACTCTAAAAATTAATAAATATTCCCAAAATTGTGTCTATGCCGTATCTGTCACAATTGTATTTACTTTTCTGGAATTGTGAATTAAATATTATGGGAAAATAGTCAATCTCAGAGAAATTGTCTAAAACCAAATTTTGTATATGCTCAAAAAGATTACTACTGAGCAAGTTGGAACACTAAGTTCATTAGCAGACATTATTTATAAGCTCTAAAATCACCAATTACCTTTCATGAGCTATAGATCACTTGATCACAATTTCTAATGCAGCAAGCTGGTAATAAATATATTTTTCACTATCATCATTGTTAAAGAAAACAGGAAGAAGGGAAAGGACTAGATACTTCAAATTCATTGCAACTTAAAATTTAAGTCTAAATTATTTATAGAGTAAAAACACATTGATTTGAGCTTTCTTAAAAGTAAAAACAAATTATACATATAAGGGTTATAAGACAAAACAATTGCAAAGTGAAAAATTAGAGTTTAGTATTTGAGAAAGGCAAATTCTCAGTAGGATATCTGAGAAAAATTCTTTAAGAATATCATTCAAGTACATAAAAGGTTAATTTTTAAAAATTTTCAAAAAGTAGCACCACACTCAGCACAAAACTGAGAAACCTGAGTTTGTTATAGCCAAAGAACTAAAACAAAACTAAAGAAAGAAAACAAAATTTCAAAAGAACAATTTTCTACTGCTAAGTGTGAAAGATGGTAAAAGACTTGAGATTAATATGACTCATAAAGTTTCTCTTAAGTAGAAAATCTACAATTAGGAAAATTTTAGTGCAAGGGCACGTGAATTATTTTTTAGATTCTCTATTGTAACTATGACCAGTGAAGTAACAGCTACTTGTAATCAAGTTAAATAGCATATTTTAAAGACCCAGTTAATGAGTTATGAATCTTGGATCTGATTTTAAATCAAATAAGAAATGGTACTTTAAAAATACGTTGATTCTGACTAAATAATGTTGGGAATAGAATTTTTCCCAACTTTCAGGCTTCATTTTTTTTTTAAATACTAGAAAGACATATTAAATAATCTTAAGTTCCTCAAAAGCATATACTGAATGTTGAAATGTGCCTTTGAAGATTCCAGAGAATCTAGATTGCATGTGAAAATGATGTGTGAAAATAGAAAAGCTCAGAGCTTAAGGAAATAAAGACAACTTCACTCATACAAAGTAAAGGTATTGATTCACAAAAGTAAATAGCAAGGCAAATAAGATATAACTTACTCGAATGTATGCAATGACATATGTAAGTAAATAACCTCTCTGACCATTATCTTCTCCAGCAGCCAACCCACTGTGATTAAAGAACAAACTATCAATACATGCCAAATGAACCAATAAAACATATAAACTATGCAAATTGATAAAATACCTCACCATAACTGCTTAGCAGTTTAATACATATCACAAAGCAACCCATTTTTATCTTAATCTCATTTATTTTAACCACATCAAAAAACTGTCAAGAGATTAAGTTTGCAGAAGAAAAATCTGAAAATACTTTTAACATTTCAGTTTAGTCATTAATCTCAAACTTCAATCCACCAAACAAAACTGACTCATTTGAACTCAGCTACTTCTCCCCATATGTTCAAAAGAGCAATGAATGGGCTACTTGTAAGAAGGTTACACATGCTGTGCAAAGCAGGCAGCCCATATGAGTGAAGAGTGGAGTCCTGCTTGTTCCAGCTCCTTGCTAATTCTCCTGGGAAAGCAAGAAAAGATGACCAAATGCTTCGGACCTTGCACCTACAAGGAGCTCCTGTCTTCAGACTAGCCCAGCTTTGGCTGCCGTGGCCTTTTGGGGAGTGAATCACAGGTTGGAAGACCTCTGTCTTTCTCTCTAACTGTTCCTTTCAAACAGATAAAAATCTTCACATAAAAATGAAACGGTGAAAGAATTGGCCATGAGAAACAAGTTTAAATAACATGAAATAATCTATACAAGTGTAACAACATACTTAAAATACCCATATCCTACTCATACAGGTTGAATTTCCTGACTCTGAAAATTCAAATTTGAAATACTCCAAAATGTGAAACATTTTAAGAACCAGCAGAACATTACAAGTGGAAAATTCTATGGACTGCACATGATGAGTTGCAATCAAAATGCATGTGCACTAAAATACTGTATAAAATTACCTTCAGGCTATGTTTATAATGTGTACATGAAACCAGTGTAGTTCATATTTGGACTAAGATCCTGTTGCCAAGACAGCCTACTATGTGCATGCAAATATTCCAAAACACACAAACAAAAATATACAAAATCCACTGAGTCCTAAGCACTTTGCATAAAGGATGTTTAGTTTTTATTAAACTGTTATTATATTCCATTGTTCAAATACAAAGAACTGTGATAACTGACTAGGAATTCCCAAATCCAAAAAGTTTGTGAAACACTTAAGTAGACAATTTTTGGGGTTTTAGACATCATGCTTACTGTAAGGAGTTTATTATTTAAAGGAGACAAAATAAGTCTTCAAGGAAATAGTTTATAAAGCAGTGCATAGATAATTGCAAGAAAATAAGTAAGGTCTTATTGCTAGGACATATATACTACCCCTTTCAATTTGAAAGCAATTTTTTCCAAGAAATTACTGTATTTGATATTCCAGTTATAATTAATCTCATATATCATATAATTCACTTCAAGTACTCTAGCTGGTGAACATTACTCTTATTTGAATAGGAAATAAACAAGTACAGCTTTAGTAGGTATTTAGTTACATTTTTTACATTATCAGACAGAAATGAAGTTTTAACTCATTTAAGTCAAGTAAAGAACCAAAATTTTTTATGGTCTCAACCAACAGCTTTCAATTGAATCCTTTGTTTGCTGAGGTTTTACCAGATTCCGTGGTAAGTAAACAATGCAGTCTAGAAGTATTCTCCATTCTATACCAATACCATAAGGCAATTTCAGGCTAGAAAACACACGCTACATCAGAATTTTCTGACACTATTATACTTAATTATTTGCAAAATTATTGTCATTTAGAAGGTGTAGCGTGCTCACCTCAGCAGCACATATACTAGAAGGTGTGGCAATGACTTGAAAGAAGCAGTTGTGGTGTACTTGAAGAGAACTGTATAGATGGAACATTCATGAACAAAGACAAAACTTAGGTCAAGCAGGTGAAAGTGAAAAATAAGACGAGACAGAAGGCATTCTGGATTTAGAGTAAGACTGGAGATAGACCTACAAAAACAAATAAAACTCTAAAACAAAAAGGAGACAAGCCAGCAAATGATCACGGCAAGAGCCTGGAGGAAAATAGCCAAGTCCGTAACTCAGGTAGATATGAAATCAAGTCAGATTCTGAGTTGAAGAGAAAGAAAACAAAGCCCTAGGAAACAGTCTGCCCTAGACCTGATGGTGAGAAGGAACGAAGGCGTTGATTAGCGAAAGATTTAAGAGATCAGTGCTCGGATTTAACAGAAAGGAACGAGCATTTAGTAGGCTGGTTTCCGTTATGTTGAAGAAAGTCCTAATATAGGACTAGCCAGAATTAATATCTTACATACAACAACCAGTCAATACCATGTTGGCTAAAACTTAAATGCCTCTAAACTGCTATTCTAGTAACCACTATTTAAAAAAAAAAAAAAAAACTACAACTACACTGAGATTCAAAATGCTTTATGTTAGAGTAGCAACATCCATCTTCCATTTTCTGCTCTCGTCACAAACTTCAACATCAATTTGTAAAGTTTCTGAGCAGTAAGAAAGCTGCTTCATGAGGAAGGGTGGGGAAGATTAAGGAAAGAGAAATGAGAGACAATCCTTTTACAAAAGGACCATCTGTGAACTGAATTACTCTCAGGCTGAATTACATTAAACAACTTGGGCACATTTAAAAAATAATTGTAACTTATTACCTTCAGCTCTATGGTATCTGTCAAAATATTGGTCAGGAGTGCTGACAGGGAATGTCTATTCTGCTCAGCTATTAAGAGAAGTTACAGTGCATCACTAGCCAACGTGGATAAACAACCCAGGATGACTGTTCATTGTGTGGCTACTATATTTTGTTGGATTACATGCGTTCAATGGCATCCAAGAAGGTTGTAGTGGGAATAGAAGGCAAGGAAAAAATGGCTAGCACATTAAAATGCATTTTAGGAGCTTCTTCATTAAAAATAATCTCAAACTAATGAAGTGATCAGAACTGAAGATAAAAAGAGGAAGCAAATGATGAATTAATAATCCCATCACTCAAAATAAAATAATGGTCTATACCAACATATGAAAGGTTTAACATTAGATAAACCAGCTGTGCTTTCCTCTCGCTTGTTATGTAAAAGGGGAAAAAACTGAGGTTTGGGGATAGAATGACATTTTAAATAAGAAAAATGTGCCCAAATCCCCAGTAATGAGGACAAAAAATAGTACATACAGGCAACTTGCAGGATACCTACTAGAAAACCAAAAGAAGGTAATTGCAAATATTGAAAAAAAATCAAAATATTTCTAACTCATCTGCCTAAGCATAATCTGTGTTGCTTTCTCTATTTAAATGGAAGAAGCCAAAATGAAAGCACATTAAAAAGTTAACTATGACAGAGCAATAACAAGCAACAGTGAGGCCTCAATCATTACCAAGGTTTGATATTTCATTTACTATCATCTATTTTTAATGGATGAATTTGATAAAAGTTTTGTTGAGAGTAAACATTGCTAGAGTTAAACCAACAGTTATGGAGCTCCAGGATCAGAATGTGAAGACCACTGGATCTTGTGTTTGAAAAACAACTCTTACTGGGCTTCATGATTGGGGACAGCTTAAGTAAAACTGACAAATAGCTCTGCAAAGACCTAAAAATGGAATTACAATGCTTAACTGTTAGCATAATAATTAGGCATAAATTAAGGAGAATAAACCATATCAAGCACACTGTAGTCTTCACTTTAGTTAATTAACTGCAAAAATATTTAACCAAGCATCTAACATACAACAGACACCAACACTGATGCCCAAGAAGACAGGTCATGAACTATAAAACTTACGGGGGAGGTAAGACAAACAATCTACCACAGTCCAACAGGAAACATGGTCCAGAACTAACTCCTAAATATTTGCTAGCCACTCTGGATTGCAATTATGACCACAGATTCTACAAAATAAAATTTGTATGTATGTGTGGCTGCATCTAAGCAAATTTAACCCTAGTCGCCAAATTTAACACTGTATACAGTGATTCTAGTTGGACATAATTTTCACTTCTTCCATTACATAAAATACTTTACAATCCCAATTAAAAATTTAAAAAACAATTTTAAAGTTTCTAATATTTAAGGTTAGAACAGATATAAAAGATTTCTTATTAAACCTCTTCAGTTTTAAGGGAAAAAAACCACTCTAAATTATATACAACACAGAAACCTAAAAGCAGGTTAACACATAGATTTAAATTCCTTCTAGAAAGAGAAGCATATATGTTCCAAAAATTCCAGATCAAAATGAGAAGATCTGAAATTGAACCCTTTTAGACATTAATATTTTGAACTAACTTATTTAAAATACCAGTAATTCTGCCAAAAGTATTAACAGAGGAGAAAAAGCGAAAGTTATAAACTATCTTTTTAAAGAATTTCCACTAGCAAACTTTAGAAAATGATAAAAAGGAACTAAATTTTAATACTCAAGAACAGTTATAAGAGTAAACTAAGATTAAGTTTATGATCAAAACATTTCCTCCACAAATTATATTGCATTTTAATATTAAGTTCAGACAGTTCTAAGGATAAAGGGCTGACATATGTGGAAAAATTACATAAAAGTGGGATTTTAACAACATGGCTCTACAATTAAGTGTTCATTAGCTTTCTTTAAAAATAGCAAAATAATAAAAGAAAATATTTGTCAAAAACTCAGGCTAAGCATAACGTATATGCTATAATCTCTAAAAAAAAAAAAAAAAAAACTAAAAACAAAGAGCTCCAGAAAGCTCTTAGTTTATGCACTTAAAAAGGAAAGAAAAAAAGTGAGTCCTGATAAATGGCATTTTCACTGTGGTTCTCATCGATCAGTCTTATAATCCATCAAGCTGACAGACAGAAACCACCCCATCATTATTCAGTTGGTTTTAGATGTGAAATGTTTTCTGTTTCTTTATACTAGCACAAAACAATAAGTGACAGGAGTGGAGTAAAAATAATTTATCAAATGCCTTTGATTAAACAAAATTTCCTTTTAAAAACATAAGTATCACATGGTTTATACATGCATTATTGTAACTAAAGGGTAACATGACAATGAATTTTTCTCTATTTTACTATAGCACAAGAAATAAAACCCACAAAATTGTCATTAATATAAAAATCTAAAAGAAATACAATATACATAGGATTAGACAAATTGAGTAGTATATAAATCTAACTTACACATTTTAGAAATAAAGAAAAACAATTACTAGAAATAATTTACTATCATAATTTATTAATGTATTTGTAATATATTAAATTTAGATTAATAACATCTTGAAACACATCTACTCATGGAAGTTAATGCCTACCACATTAATAACTGTTAGAAAATACTGGAATTTTCACTAAATTTTCTCTTGGCATTACGAACTTAAAGTCATACCCAAATTTTGCAGCAATGTCATAAACTTGTTTTTCATGTTGAAGAACTTTCTCACGGTCCCCCTCAAACAGCAATGTAGCTATACTTAGCTGATTCGGATCAAATCCTTTAAACTGCAAAAGATAACATAAAATGTTAAGATCATAAATTTTAAGTCTACAAAATAGTAAACTGAAATACATTTTGATTTCTTATTGCTAACCTAGGCTCAAATGCATCAACTTCCTAAAAACTGAACTTTGGAACTTAATGTATCATACAAGAAGAATGCTTAATATACCTACTCAGGTCATTATAACATAATAAAACTACATTCCAAATTATGCTATAGTATTAGTCAGAATGACATATACTGGTAGGTAAACATCACATGCAATTTATCAAATTGTAACAGTAGTAAAGAATAAAAAAGAATTAAACTACAAAATGATAAAGTAGCTAGATTTAAAGATGAAGAATAAAACCTAACAACATCCTTATTTGCTAAAAACAATTTCTCATTATATATTTTCAAGAGAGATCTTAGGCATAAAATTAAATGGGTATCTACTAAAATCTTAAAAATAATATAAATAACTGCATTAGGAAAACATGTCTTAAAACGATGAGAAAGATCTGTATTCTTGAATGCATAAACAACACATTATAAACCTGTCAATGTGCACCCAAATTCAAATACTAGCTTACTCCAATTCAAACAAAACCCCAATGGACTTCTTAAAAGTAAGAGTTTCCAACAATTTTCTAGAATAATAAGCAACAGGAAGTGGTACTAAGGAAAAAAAATTTTTAAGGAAAATAAGAGGGAAAACTAGAAATTCTCAGATAAGTGCTATGTAAGATGAGAGAAAAGCAGGGATAGCTAATGGTGTTGACACTAGTAAGTAATGGGGAAGTGGGAGGTGAAGATCAATGTTGATTTTATCTCACACAGAAAATTGAAATAAAAAACAGGTTTTTTTTTTTAAGACTTTCCTGTTAAAGAGAGAGTGAGAGAGAGACAGAGAGGTAGAGAATAAAATGGCCCTGACCATATTTCTGGGAAAAGATAGGCTTTTCTAAGCTAAGCAGTAATTAAATAACCACAAGGAAAGAAAAAAAAAATTGAAATTTTAGCAAAACCTTCACTAAAAGAGACTAGAAAAATTATTTACAACATTTGTGACAAATGGCATTTAATGATTTCATTACTCAAAGGACAACCATCAAAGCACACACACACACACACATACACACACACACACACACACACACACACACACACACACACACACACACACAAGAAATGAAGCTGTCACTCCTGGCGTAACAGTCATTCCCAGTTATTTATAATTCACAAAAATTACACGTAGAAAATACAAGGAACTGTTGATGTCTCTGTAGTACCAAGAAACGCCAAGCTTTCTTTCTGGTAAACATAAAATATAAACAAAATTCTACGTACAACAACAAGAATACAACAAGAAATTATAGACATATCATTGTTGATAGTGTAAGCTGGCATAACCCTTTAGAAAAGAAATTCAGCAATCTGAAGCCAAAACACACACACACATTCATGCTTATTTTACCCACGGATATCTACTATAAAGAGAAAAATTCAAAGTTAAAAAAATGTTGGAAGCATTAAACAGATACAGCCTTCTTTTCATAAACTTATAAATTAGAAGAGAATTTTAAAATGTCCAGAATTATATGGGTAATTTTTTTGGTGAAATACTTTTTCCAAAATGAAAATAATTATGAAATATACATGCATATATAGCAAAACATCCTACAGTTGTTGTCAGTGAAGGGAACAAGACAGGAAACTAACAACCTAATAAGCATTTTAAAATTTCAGAATTCTATACAAATTCTTACCTTTGTGATATAAAACTTTTTTAATCCATCCAAAAATGATGTAAAAATAGAGGAAACCTGAGGTTTAAGAGCATGACCTAAGAAGAGAAAAAGTTTATATTTAATGACAAGTTCTGTGGCTTCTGAGAAACAACCTACTTCATTTAAGTATCCTAGACAAATATCTCATAAAGTTTTTATCACTTTAAACCTAAATTTCCCTCTGTGTGTGTATCTTCAGCTTTTATCTTAATCTCCTTTTAAAAGTTACAAACATTTTATTAACAAAACTGATTCTTGGTTTGTTTTTAAGTCAAATTACTATATGTAATTAATACTACACATAGTTTAGGCTACCCTTCAATGGTACACTTTATACACACTAAAACTACTTCATTACTTTTTATTTCATTAAAAATATCCAATGGAGGCTGGTTTTTATTTTTATTTTTTTAATTATACAAAAACCATTCAGAAACATAACCAAACCAAAGCCAAGTTTCAAGTTGTTTCTTAATTAATTCTTAATTCACCCAGATTCCTTGGCATAAAACTAGCAACTGCTCCCTTAATTACACCCATAGAATTGAAATTGCCAAAATAACATAAATGGTGTCTCAGAGTCTGTTAAATTAACATCTTCGCCTGAGAATTAAGCTTAATTGAGTGAAAACCTTTTACTGTTTTCTCATTGTTTTCAGAGCAGCAACTTCTCGACTCCCATTACTGCTAACATTTGAGGGTCATACATCCGGGGTTAATGTCATGAGCCCAATTCAGAAAACTGTGGCATATCATTTAAACAGAATTTTATTAAAAAATTAGTAAATTTCTAGCACTAAAATTATCTATAGATAAAAGTTATTTTTTTTAAAGGAGTTAAGGTTTTAGAGTTTTTGTTAAAAGCCTTTCTTTAAAACAAATATGAACAAGACTAATAGTATTTTACATTAATCTTCTAACTTCTGAAGCAGGAATCTGAATCTCTAACATACACTAATTACATTTTTGCTGATTATTAAGAGAACTGTGTCACATATAGGATCCAGTAGTGAAAGTATTTACCAGATTTTAAAAGTTAGCTATCAAGATGGAACTGAGTAAAACAAAATTTAAAACAAGCAAGCAACACAAAATGTAAATTAGATATCTAGTAAAAAATTTTTGTGCACCTGAATCATTAATAAGAATTGTGGATTATTTTTTATTTTATTATAACTTATCAGATATATTTCTCTAGCAAAAATAGTATTTATTTAAAAGATACAATATTTAATATGTATAAATTCAGAAACAACATCCCAAATGAATCTCATCCTGTATTAACAACTGGAAATATATCCATGAGTGTCTGCGTTGAGTGTGGCTATTGTTTTCCTGCAAGCAGCTGGAACTGTGTACACAAAGGTCAATTCACGTGGCTCTGTACACTACACGAGGACTCTAAATGGTACCATGGTAGGAAATAATCCTTAGCACTTCTCAGTATTTTGTCTAAGTTCATGTGTGAAATAATCCACAAGGGCAAATATTCATCTTTACTCAATGACATTTACATTACAATTTTAATTAGCACTAATGACATATCTCTAGTATTGAGTTGAGATAATAGCTTTTAAAAATAAAGTATTACATACATTATTGACTTTTAAGTGAGTCAGGTATTATCAGTATTAACTAGAGGTCATTGTTACCTTTTATTTTTTCTTAAATTAATGTTGCCTATCAAATTAATTGCATTCCAAATATATTCCAGATAACACATGTTATCTATTATACTAAACTCACTCTAAACTTACTACCTGGGCAGTCTGACTAGTGAACTTTTGTGTTTTTACAAGGTTAATTAAGTAACTTAAGAGGATTAACTAAATATGTATGTTTCAAATAAGTGTTTTGACACAATGAAAAAAGTTTTGAGCTTTTGGGTTTAACTCAAGCTGTACTACATAAGACCTATGGATTCAGGAAAAATGTTTAGCCTCTGAGTCATTTGTAAAATAGCAATACATCGGGGCCCGACGCGGTGGCGCAAGTGGTTAAAGGTCCTCGCCTTGCACGCCCGGGATCCCATATGGGCGCCGGTTCTAATCCCGGCAGCCCCGCTTCCCTTCCAGCTCCCTGCCTGTGGCCTGGGAAAGCAGTAGAGGACGGCCCAAAGCTTTGGGAACCTGCACCCACGTGGGAGACCCGGAAGAGGCTCCTGGCTTCAGTTCGGCATAGTATCGGCCATTGCGCTCACTTGGGGAGTGAATCATCGGACGGAAGATCTTCCTCTCTGTCTCTCCTCTCTGTATATCCGCCTTTCCAATGAAAAATAATAAAAATAAATCTTTAAAAAAAAATGGCAATACATCACTGAAGAATAGCTTTGAGGAGAAATCCGATAAACTATGGAATTGATAATGTTCTCAGACCAATGCTTTTTAGGATCTATTCACCTTCTTTTGCCAGCTCAATGATGAATTTAGCCATCATTTAACTGCCTATTATGTGGTATTAGGAGATATAAAAAGGACTAAGAAACAGTCCTGAACACTGAGAAACATTACCTCCAGGGAAATCTATAGATAATTTTAATATACTGAAAATTAAATTTAATTTAATGTAATATAGTAAAAGTTTCTGTGCCAGAAGTAGAGTGATATTAAAAATATTACCAAACATAAACATGACTTATGTTTTGTTAACAATCAAAATGACACAAATCCTGACCAGCTATATGGCTAATACACGATCCTGGAACCTCCTTGGGTGCTAAGGACCGCTCCTTTAAGTTGCTTACTCATTACACCATGCCAGTATAGACAGGTGAAATGTTTAAATGGAACCTTCAAAAAGAGTACAGTCAGTCAAAAAGCAGAGCAAATCTGTATTTTTCTTTTTTAAAGATTTATTTATTTTTATTGGAAAGTCAGATATACAGAGAGGAAGAGAGACAGAGAGGAAGATCTTCCATCCAATGATTCACTCCCCAAGTGAGCGCAATGGCCGATGCTATGCCGATCCGAAGCCAGGTTCCAGGAACTTCTTCTGGCTATTCCACATGGGTGTAGGGTCCCAAAATTTTGGGTCATCCTTGTCTGCTTTCCCAGGCCACAAGCAGGGAGCTGGATGGGAAGTGGAGCTGCCAGGATTAGAACCAGCGCCCATATGGGATTCTGGCGTGTTCAAGGCGAGGACCTTAGCCACTAGGCCACGCCACCGGACCCAAATCTGTATTTTTCAAAAAGACTATTGTGGTGGCTGAGTAAAAGACAAAAGGATTTGAGACACAGTCAAGACTGGAGGCAGGCATTTTGGCACAGTGAGTTTAGTTTCGCTTCCAGTAAGCACCACTTTAAGTCCCAGCTGTAGCACCTCTGACCCAGATCTCTGCTAACATGCCTGACAAAGCAGCAAGCAGCAGAAGACGGCCCAAGCACTTGAAACCCAGATGGAGTTCTAGGTTCCTGTCTTTGGCCTGGCCCAATCTGATGTTACAGTCATTCAGTGAGTGAACCAGCAGATAGAAGATTTCTCTCACAATCTCTCTTTCTCTACCTGGTTCTCAAATAAAATAATATATTTTTAAGAAGGGAAAAAAAATCTTACAGAAAATATGCTCAATCACAAAGCTGGACATACGTTTCTAGGTGTAGCAATGAAATGGAAACAGAGACGACCGTCCGAGGGTGTTTTCTTTAAAAACCGATGATGACACGTAAAAGGGTAACATAGTCTTATTAGTTACATCTGTGTCTCTCATTACACCTAGATGTCTAAATGCAGACCAAAACAGGGAGCTTGATTTTCACTTGGTTTAACTGTTACATTACTAATGGAACACAATTATTTTAAATTTTATCAGTAGTATAGTAATTTGAAAGTAATTTATTTAAAGAAATAAACAATTATGAGAAGAGGTGGGTCTCAGGACGGGCGTCTCATGCCTGGATCCCAGACGACAGCCACCATGTGCACAGGGTGAGCTGTCCCCGGGCCTGCCTGGTGTGCCATTTGGTGCCAGGCACCGCCTGCTGGCTGCCCGGCCAGGAGCTCTGGGGTTTTGTTTCTTTGAGTTGCTGCTTAGTTAGCTCCAGATTGAACCCATTTTGCTTCTAGGACGTGAAGCATTCGTAAAGATTCCCATTGGCAGTAACTCTTTGAAGAACTTGTAATCACTAAACAATGCTGACCACCTAATACAAGTCCATGCAAAAGTTATGGCTTGGGCCTTGTCCTATATAATTACATCATGTTACCTGACATGATGATGGATCAGGAGAAAGGTCACATTAAGCAAGCAATTACATTAACTAGCACTCAAGAACCATAACCAGGGGTAAATTTTGTGAGGGATGTGTGGGCCACATCCTGTGGAAATTCTAGCCCCACTGATTATCTCAAGAGTTGGGGTGGTGATGGACTAAGCTAGGTGTGACCAAGGAGCCTGCCATCAATCACAGGTTAAGGAACCCCCAACAGTCTGGACTGGTCAGGGCAGCAGCACCCAAATGTGCATCCTGATTAGGGTGTGGGGTGGGCCAGGCTGCAACGTTCACCAGCTCATACAAGGCCAAATGGAAGGCCAGACTATGCCGGGCACTGGCCAAAACCAAATGGCATGTATGAGAACTGGGTCTGGGAGTGGATTATGTGGAGGAACTTGGGAAACTCCCCTGGCAAGTCCTAGCTCCCGCTGGTGAACATGTGGTCCAGACCTGGGGATCGGACAAGCTGGGCAAAGCAGCTCCAACAGCTGGCAAATGTGTCAATTGCTAATGGAACAGGGTATATCAGGCAGGACTGAGCAAACCTTAGCCCACAAGCAAAATTAGAAACCAGGACAGAGCACAGGTTATGCTGAGCTAGGCTCTTGCACCTACTGGTCTGTGTGAGACGGAATGCTAAGCCACAGTGTCTAAGGCAGAGGTCGGGACAGGAGAGGGGCTGTGCCAAGCTGAGTCAGAGCAACACTGGCATGTATGAGATCTACGGCTGGGAACAGGCCTGGTTGGGGAGCTAAGGAGACAACCCTAGCTGGGTTGAGGTTCCCACCAAGGGGCGTGTGACCTGGAATGGGGGCTGCGTTCTGATCTGGAAACGGCTGTAGTCTCCCTTGGCACAAGTGTGGACTGGGATTGGATGCACCGAGCTGGGCCAGACCCCAACACCCTCTGGTGTCCTGGAGGACCGGGATAGATGTGCGATGAACTAGGCAAGGTCTCAACCCCCTACTGAGCCATGTGTGAGCCATATGTGGTTATGGACAAAGGCCAGTTAGGAAAAGCCACTGTTCCTGCTAGGACAGTAGGTGGACTGAGTAGGGCTGGCTCATGGAACCACTGGTAAGCGTGAAACCTGGCATTGGGAGAGGTGCCAATGGAGGAGCCTGGGCAACTCCTCTGGCAGGACACAGACCCAGCAGGTAAGCGCAAGAAACATGACAGGAAACAGCCCAGAACAGGCTATGGAAAGTTACCCACTGGCATACATTTGGCATGGGTCGGGGGCAGACCAGGCTGAATCTGTCCACGTCATCCACTGGCAAATCCAAGCACCAGAACAGTGTGGGTCGAGCCAGGTTTGGTCGCAACAAGGACTAGCGCACAATACGGAATGCTAAGGTGAGGTTGCCTGTACCGGAAGTGACCGCACCACCCGACCAGCAAGCGTGAGAACAAGGAAGGGAGGGGGCAGAGCCAGCAGGGGACTAAGGGGGGTTCCTCTGCTGGACAGCTACTCCGACTGGAGAGCATGAACTGGGATGGGGGCAGACCAGACTAAGCAGGGCTACAACACTTGTACGCCTCATGTGGACTAGATCAGGCAAAAGCCAGGCTGGGCTGATGATTCCTACTGGTGCAATCTACAATTAGAGTGGGTGAGGGTTGTTTGGGCATAGCCGCAGCATCAGCTGGCAGAAACTGGCACTGGGGGCTAATTCTGTCAAGTTAAATGGCAGAGCCACCTGGAAAGTGCACAATCTGGGAGTGAGAGACCTGGGAGGGAAATAGTGGGTTCCCCCTCCTGGGTTACCACTCCCATGGGAGGGCACAAAAACTAGGACAGGGGCTGGGGTGGCTAGACAGGAACTCAACAACACCCATGAGGGCTTGATTGTCAAGCTGGTTAGATGGATCTAAGCTTCAATGCCAACTGCCATGTACAAGAGCCAAGGGGGATGTGGGACAGACTGGACTGGTCTGCTACACATACTAGCAAACCAGGGTAGGGGGCAGGCCTGCTGGGGGTTATTGTGGGTCGCTCCTATTAGGCTGCAGCTCCCACTGGTTTATGTGAGGGCCGAGTATGTGCTGGGCAGAACCAGGCTGGACTGCAACACCCATTGTTCCAGTGGAAGTCGGGAGTGAAAACAGAACCAACCCACCAATTGCAACCACCTGCTGATCGGGGCCATGGACTGTGCCGGGCCCTGTGCTTGCTAGTACATACAAGACTCTGGTCTGGGAACACCTCAGACAAAGTTTCTTTGGAGATCTTCCCATTCGAAATGCCGGACTCAGAACCCTAACCATGAAAAGATGGAAGACAGAACAGGTCAACCAACCATCTCAGCTATACCTTGGCAGCGAAATACAGGGCAAACAGAGACTCTATGATGGATTATGTCAATCAGTGGACTCTTCAAAGACCTCATAGTGCTTGGAGTAGCAAGATTGGCAGCGATTCATAATTGTTGAAATATCAAAACCACTTGAGCAAGAACCTCAGAGCATACCCTACATCCAGGACCTGGAGAGGGTGGGAAATTGGGTGGGCCTTCTCCCTTAAGACCCCCTTTAAACATGAAGGAAACAATATGGGAAAAATAATAGTCTTACCCACTTTCCTGTAGCCCTTGAACCTTTTTACCCTAATTAACTATGTAATGATTGTCAAAATACAATTTTTTTAAAAAGTAAAAAAAAAAAACAATTATGAGAAGAATCTAATTTAAAAAATAACCCTTCCCACGTTATGAATTTGACTTCCTTAGTTAAGCTCCTATGTAATTATCATCACTTTACTGCATATCAAGGTCTAAACTACTCCTAGATATGATAAATAAAAGTCTGCCTAACTTAGCCCTTAGTGTTTATTATTGAACAATCACTTTCTTAATTTCAGGGGCTGTTCTGAGGGTATTTAAATTCTACAACTTAAGTTAAATTTCAGCATATGAAAAATATGCAGAAGTAATGAAACTAGAATTAAAAAGGTGATAATTTAACCAGATGCTTAATACTTAGGACAAACTATTAAGGAATTCGAAAGAAGAAAAAAAAAGTTTCAGACACAACTGCCTACTGGATTATTCACCCAAATATTCCAATGATATCATAAGTACCACTAGTTACAGTACTTTTCCCTAAAATCATTCTTCCATCACTGCTATTTAATCTCTTCAATCAATCAAATCTACAGCTGTCCTCAACTCTTCACTTTCATTTAACCTTTTACAACCACTTGACAAACTAATTTTTTTCAAAATCCATTCTCTGCTATCTCCATTATTGCTGCCTCAGCATGAAGTCCCCCCAAATTTGGTTTTTGAACTGTTTCAACCTATTTTCCTTCCTCCACACCTGTGCCTTTTTATTCCATCTTGCAAAATACAACCAGAATGAGCTTTCAAAGATATAAAGCTGACTGATTTTACTCCTTCTATGAAGAAATCCTACTACAACTGACAAGAAAAAAACCCAAATCAATCCTGCAAAACCCAGGCCAATTGCCCATCCTCTACTTCAACCACACAGAACTACTTGAATTGCGCCGAGACACTGAGGATTCTTTTGCTGACATGAACAAAAGATTAGAAGATTTGAAGCAAAGTTCTGCTCACCTTTAAAGATTTAGCTCAATTATCAACTTCCTTTAAAATTCTTTTCTGGCCCTTGACCCACATGGCAAGGGAAATCAAGCAGAATCAGTCACTCTCACACGTGTGACCTATGGTCCCTAGAGCAGCTTTCTGTTACAGTCGCAACGCTGCTACACTTACTCATTTACGCTACTATCTACCTCCGTGCTGAGAGCTTCTTGAAGGACAGGAATCATGACATTCATTTTCCTTCCTCAGCACACAGTACAATTCCTATTGTGGCTTTTTTTGTTTTTGTTTATTTTTTTGGCGGCACCATGAACAGACTTTAAAATTGCCCTCTTTGAAGGACCCCACTTCTTACCCAATCTGTTACACAAAATAATGCTGCTGCTTCAAAGAATCTTTTTTTAATGTTAATTAACTGACATGCCTCAAAACTGTTGAAAATGAAGAGGGTATATGGGGGTAGAGCTGGATCGAGGAAGGGATCCAGCTATGTCATTTCAAGTGAGAACATGTGCAAGGAGACATTGTTACACGCTCAACACCAAGCTTGGAGTCTCAAGTACCTACTAAATTCTTTATGAAAAGGAGCTGCTCACACCAGATCTATTTTTAATGTTTAAAAAGCCTCTCAATTTCAAAAAAATAAAAATAAAAAAATGAAGCTACCACTCTTCACTTACCAAACTGAAATTGCTGGTTGTCCATGAGGCGAATGGATGCAGGAGCACATCTCTGTTTAAGACAGAAGACAACGTGTTGCAAATTTAATACAGTAAGAAACTAGATAATTAGAACATGAGTATTATCTTCCCATATTTAAGCACTTGGGAGTTCAGTGCCTAAGGATATATATATATATACATATATATACATATATATATATATATATACCCCTAAGGATACATAGACTTTTCACTGTCTAACATTATGAAAACAAAATACTTGTCGTTTCATAAAGTATTTAGTAAGGAGAATTCAACATGTGTAATATATAAATACAGACATACACAAGTTACCAAAGCTTTAATTTAAGGAGAACAAGATTTGTTTAATGCTTGCAAAGACCTGTGAGAACATCAGATTTCAATGTAGATTATTTCAAAAGAAATAGAAATTTTTACAACTAAAATCACAGATTTGAGCATTGTGTCATTTATGACTATACTGTGACATGTTCTTAATAAGGTTCTAAAACAAACTGGTGATGGAAATTTGCATGTGCTAGAACACTTTAAAAAATTATCTGCAATGTATTCATACACAACTGTAGAAACTATTTTAATTCTTTCTCCCAATGCACATTAATAGAAAAACCACCCATTTCCAAGATTTCTAGGACCTTGTATGAAACGCTGAAACATAAAATTATGTGTCTAAAACTGTAACAGTGTTAGTTGCAGCTATTCAAGTACACATTAAAATTTAGAAGGAAAACAGATACAAGTTGAGTATTCTAATTTAAAAATCCAAAACCCCCAATTTTCCAAAATATGAAACTTCTTTAACACTAATACGACACTCAAAGGTAGATTTTGAAGCATTATGGATTTCAGATTTCTGGAATAAGCATGTTCAATGGATAATATCCTTGAAAACATTTCAAAATCTGAAAATACCAAGATCTAAAACACCTCTAGCCCAAAGCATTTCAAATAAGAATGCTAAACTTATGTTCATAGTAATTTTAGATGATAAAACATAACAAAGTACAAACGGGTACAGTTTCTACTTAAGCCTAATATGAGTTGGTCCCCAGATGAAGTTTTTTTCTATACAATTTTTAAAATATAGATAAGCTTCTATCAAGAATCTGCCTTGAGATCACAACATTTTGACAAATGACATAAACTTTTTAAATACTTGATTCCCAATAGTACTTATTAATAGTTTATATTGACAAACTATTGAGACTCACTCAAAAGAACAAAATTCAACACACACACTTTAACCATGCATTCCAGCATCTTTGGTAGATTTGTTTTCAGTTGAATATTTAACTTGTTATAAAAACACAAATTCATGCACCCACTGAAATGACTAGCCAGATTTTTATTCTGAGGACTACACAATTTATTCACCTTTGGTACTAAAGATGAGACCATTCAATCTCTATTTAAAAAGCCACTTCCATGTCTAAAGAAGCAGTATTAGGCAATTTTATATCCATAACATAACAATAACCAATAACCTGACATTTTAAGGAATCATATAGTTTCCAAAGCTTTCACACGTCTGTATTTGATATAACAAACAACTCTGGCAGGGGAACAGAGCTGGTATTATCACCGCTGAACAGAGGAGAGCACAAAAATCAGCAAGATTGAAGGACCAAGGTCAGATGACTATCGAATAGCAAAGACAGAAGGAAGAACAAGACTTCCTGACTAAAATGTAAGATTTCAGTTACACCAGAAAGTCTCCAAAAAATCACCTACAACATACACACACAGCCTCAAAGCCATACTGGAAACAAAAACTATATTAAATTTTCTTATTTGCTACTTTGTGGTCTTATTCAAATTATAACAGCTATAAAATAAAACTAAAAATGTACAAGCTGGATAATTTTAAATTTTGGTATAAAAAACTTTTCTTTTTAGTGTGTTAATGCTTCTAAATATGTTACCAGTTTCCAAAATGCTAAAGAAAAATCAATTTGCTCACATTGACAAACTAGAGTGGGCACAATGCTTTCTAACAAACCATGTAGAGTCTAGTTAGATCAAACGCCCTTTCCTCATAAAAGAGAATATTCATTAAACATATGTATGCATATTTTTTAGCTTAAGCACATCAGTAAAATACGAGAATTCAGAGCATGCTGTCATTCTTATCGAAGAAACGTTTTAAATTCTTACAAACAACGTATTAATTCAGTCTCCTACGTCCAGCCTGATTAACTTTACCTATATCACTGGCAGACATTATTAATGAAAACAACAACCATAAGTAAAAATACCTCAGAAAATTAGAGGCAAGTATACTATAGTATGCAGTATTTAGTATAGGAAATGTCAATTGATATTTAATTTCAAGCAAATACAAATGCTTGAAATTAAATCTTAAACCTTTAGAATTGCTATATTATATAGTAATTAGTATTTCCTAAATGGAATGTGATTTTAAATTGACAGGCAAATCATAGTTTTAATTAATTCATTACTCCTATTTATATTGAGGAGACTTAGGTAGTAGAAATAAAATAATACTATTGAAAAAGGCCCGATGAAAGAAAGTTTTTTATTCTAGATATTAATTTTTAATGTTTTTTTCTGAAATTTTCAAATTCAAACTAGCAGCTTTAAAGTCTCATATTTTAATATTGCTAAATTTTTTAAAGTCCAAATAGTTTTTCAGTATGGTTATAAGTAAATTCTCATAAGTAAAGCATTCAAATCTCAAAACAGAATCCAGCCTAGTTTATGAGTTCTTGACAATAGTTTGTTAATTATTGTACATCACTGTACGTATACAAAACATTAATTTGGAACCTGAAGTAAGCAAAAGTTATTACTGCATGTGAGAATGTCTGACACAGCAGCTAAAACACGATATGAAATGCCCACATCCCATATTAAAGTACTGAGTTCAAGTCTACTCCACTCCCAATTCCAGCTTCCTGTTCACACACGAGTTGGGAAGCAACAGGTAATGGCTCAAATATCTGAATCCCTGCCATGCACACAACCAACTCAGACTGAGCTCCTGGCACCTGATTTTGGCCTGCGTTAGTCTCAGCTGTTGTGGATATTTCAACAGTGAAGCAAATGATGGGAGATCTGTCTCAATCTCTTTCAAATAAGTAAGTCTTTAAAATAATTTTTTAATGCAGTCAACATTCCTGTAAAAAAAAGTTCTACTCAAACCAATTAAAGTTTGTAACACCAAACACCAACTTACAGTAAAATTCAATCTGAGTGACCACAGCTATAGTTGAGATTGTTTCCATTATTAAAATTTAATTTTGTACATTTTTAAAAAATCTCACAACATTGTTCTGAAAGTTAGAGACAGCACATATTCTGAGACTTCAGCTCTAAGTTCATTCCTGTGCAATTCAGGCATGCTGGGTAACAGAACTGTATCCCATTGTTACAGGAAAAGGCATGAGAGGTCCTTAAGTTAAAGTGACCCCTGCTGGCAGGTGATTAGAATCAACCCGAGAGGGAGATGACACATCTTAACCAATTTTCATGGTATGTTAATGATAGTTCAGAGAATTTAGTAGATTCAAACACAATCACTGCTACTAGAGTCAGTGAAAGTAAGTATGTGTTCTTACTAGAGTATCTTATATCGCATAACCTGTAGACAAGTGCACTTATCTCTCAGGTAAACTGTAAAGACATGAAAAACTTTAGTGCTAATTAGTAACTATCACTACCACTGTTTTCCTTGAGCAATGAGGAAATAAATAACCATAATGAACTCAAAATGTACATGAAAGACAATTTTAGTAAAATTGCTGGTAATTTCTATGTATGCTACAATGGAAAACTTACTTATTTAAATATAAAAAGATACTTCAAAGTGCTAAATGGCTAATAGAATTAAACCATAAGCTTATTTTGTGCAAAAACAAACTGAAATTGATGTGTTTGAGAGGTCTTTCAAAGGTTCATGGAAAATGCATATGAGAAAATACACATGGACTTCAAAAACAAACATACACCACAATGAACTACTTCTAATTCCATTTTTCCCAGGACTTTTTGAAGCATTCTCATACAAGCTGGAAAACACAAAATATAATACAAAATACAAAACTGATTTATTTAGTAGTTCCCTACACCAACAAAAAGTGTAAAATTCTCAATCTAAAACACAGCCCCTGTAACAAACACATTTAAAGATTTCTGCAGAATCTGTTTTTCTGGAACTAAGTCATAGTTTTATTTTTCACTGAGAAAAATCAGAACTTGTGCTTCTGATGATACATTTGACAAGAAGTCTCTTTAACTAGTTCCTGGCAATAGAAGCGCAATATTAACACGTATTTCAAATATCTATAGGGTTTCTACTATTCTAACTCCTTAAGAATAAATCAAAACATGTAAAGATTGAATGGTCTAACATGTCTGGTACTATAGCCAAGCAATGAAACCTCTTTTAACTAAAAGGTTTATTTTATAAACTCCCTTTGAGTAGGTTCTTGTGGAGATATCACTTCAAGGGATAACCAGTTATGTTGTGCAGCTTCTAAAACAGTACACATTTTTAGGACTAGAGAATATACTGAAGATCATCTACTAATCACATATCAGATGGAAATGCTTTAATTCTAAACCTTATGAGCAATGCTACACAAAAATTAAAACAGAATTTATCATAATAAGCAATATCCCTAAATGAGTGCAAAGAGACAGTAACTTTATAGCACTGTGTTGGCTGTGAAGAGCACAACACGTCATATGAAAAACAAAAGTTAAATTTAATAATGAAAGGCTTTAAGATTCAAAGAAGAGAAATCCATTAAACTTAAGTTTATATATGCAAAAACTCAAAATGTAGACATAACTAAGCCAGAGTTCATATCACAAAACTTAAATAACAGACTGGAATCATGACTCCTTAATGAAGGACTATACTGTTGTAGCAACGTGGAGAAAATCTGACAGGAGGTGGAAGTTTGGGGAGGGAATTCCAGTCTACAAAATTGTACCATAAAATTCGAAAGTTCAAAATAAAAATTTAACAACAAAAACAAAAAAACACCCCTAAAATATATATTA